AAAAACTTTTTTATTTAAAAAATACAGATTGCTGATTCTAAAAAAATTTGAAGCTCATCTCAAATTTTAGAATCCCTCCCAATTTTTCATTACCCGCTCACTGCCTATCTTAAACCCCTGCTTTCACCCTGAATTTGTTGAACTTTTGGACCAATTCTTAGAGCTCTAGAATCCTTTTGGGCATGGCAATCCATTCTTCAGCTCAATTTGACGTTTTGGGCGCTGAGCAAGAATCGCAGGTCAGCCTTCTCGAGTTACTGTTCATCTGCGATTCTTGAAGGTTCAATTCACCTCGGTCCAAACTCATTTGAAGGCCAATTTTTGGGGGATTATGGGCGACTTGGGATGCTCTTTCAACACCTGAAATTGGTTTTCCAAACCGGTTGAAGGAAGCTGCGAATTGAGCAAAAATTTTGGACACGGAGTCACTGTTCACAGCGAGTTCTTCAAGTCCAGGTTTACACATGCTTTTTGCTCGTTTTGCATCCCATTTTCTGGTATTGTGTTCGTGATTCAAGGGCCATTCAACGTCTGGTGTTGGAATCCTAATTCAAACAACTTGATTTTGGTCTCTTTGATTTGGTTGCTCGAGTTACTGTTCACGTTCTAGTGTACCTGTGCGTTTTGCTACTGGTCTAGCCTTTATTGTTTGGGCTGGTGATTTTTTTCAGAAGGCAGAAAACAAAGATATTCAAAGCCGATTGAAGGATTGTTTTTTTCTTATTTGGACCCGAGGCAGTGATGTTCGGACTAATGCCTTCATATTTTTGTAAGTGTTTTATGTTATGTGACCTTTGTTAGTTTGGTATTAAATATTTAAATGATTGTTTTCTCAATTTCTGCATGAGAAAGGCTTGATTGATAATTTGAATCTTCATGTGGCAGTATGAGAGTTAGATTTGAGTTTCTGATTCTAAATATTTAGTTAATTCTTTAAGCTTTCTATATATGCTGTTTTTGACCTTAAAAGTGCTTGTATGCTTGAAAGTTGAACTATCCTTGATATATCTTACTTAGGGATAGTATTTAGAAGCATAACGTGATGTTTTAATGCTGATTTTTGAGTTTTAGATACTAAATTTGCTGAAATTCTGATCTGCACTGCTCTTACTCATGAAAAATCTGCAATGCCTTATTCATTTGCAAGCTGATTTTAAGTTCCTTAGATGCTTGCCTACTGATTTTTGACTTTTTAAGGTCACATATGCTTGCTTTGGATATTGTATGTGCTGTTTCTCCAATTCTGAGTTGTATGTAAAGGAGAAACTATAATGTTGCTCTTACACTAGAGTAGAACTATTATTGCTGTATTTTTGCGTAGGAACTCAACCTAGAAACAAAATATAAGGTTTATAAAGCTGTTTTTTCTGTTTTTCTGAGCTGAATATGAAACATATGGTCTTAAGAAAAATCAGCTTTGTTTATGCTTGATTTTCATGTTGAATTGAGTTCCCTAAGACGCAATTTGCTGAACTATGCACTTTAGTGGATAAATAATTGTATAGGAACGGAATTGAGAGCACCTTGCATGATTTTGAAGCTGTTTATTTTGGCCTTAGATGCTAAAATTCTGTCTTGGAAGTGTATTATTGTTAAAATTCTGATTCTGAATCAGGTTTCACACTAAAAATCTGCACCTAAAATCTGAATTTTGTTTCTCATTTGAGCTTCAAGTGATATTTTGTGTAGAAACTGGAAACAAAAGCTGAGTTATCTTGTTTTTACTCTTTATTTGATTTAAAGAAACACATTAAAAGATTCTCCAAAAAATAAGATATCGAATAACTTGGGTTAAGAAAAATAAAATGTAAAAAAAATGATTAAAAAGCTACTATTTATGAAAGAAAATTAAAAGATTGTAAAAATAAAAATTAAAATAAAAATAGGCTAAACAACTAAAAGTTAAACTCTAAAAATATTAAAAATGCATAAAAAAGAATAAAAAGAACCAAACCAAACCCGACTTATCAGGCTTATTTGTGGCTATTTGAATTTGAGAATTTGTATGCAAACCAAAGTGAAAAAAGAACATGAGCTTCATAAATCAGAATCAAGAAATCAGAGTTGATTCTCAACGTTTTTCTAATTTTTAGATATGATTTTGCCTATTCCTTTGCAGAGTGTGACGAAGTACGGTCCAAGGAATCCTTCATATATAGGAGGGGGCACACGTTCAATGAAATGGCTCACCTTCCAACAAAGCAAATTTTGCAGTACGGTCCAAGGAAGCTTCTGAACCTATACTCCAACCAAGGATATAACTTCTCCCTCCTGATAATACTAAGGATTGTTTGGTGTCTCCTGAAACCGAGAAGGTTGTTTTGACCACTAGCAAATCTGTGATAACTTTGGATGACGGTGTTACTGAATAGGTTGATGCTGCTTCTTTGTCTCTGATTGGTAATGATGTTCCAGTAAGTATATACTACTGACGAAGGATTAGAACACAAATTTACTCTTGTAAGGTCAAAAATTTAACAGGAGGCTTGATCAAGTGATGATGATTCAAAAAATTAAAATGGTGGCGCTCTATATGGGAGATGCAAGAACAACTCAAGAGGAAGGGGGCGTGGAAGGCGATGCAGGTGTGACAACCATCAATAATGATGGTGCAAATTGTATACTTTTGAAAAACTTTTACGGTGAGATTATTGTCACAAGCACACCGAGGGTGACTCTTAGCTTTCTTTGCATTTTGCTTTTGTTGTTCTCTACCACTTTTGGGTAGAATCCTTAACTTTTCTTGAGGGGCTTCGGCCTAGTCCTCTCCTCATTGTACTACTCTCTTTTCTTTTCCTTCTTCAATAAAAATATTTATCTTTATATATATATATATATATATATACACACACACACACACACACACATATATATATACATACATACATACATATATATATATATATATATATAAATATATAAATATAAATTATTGAAGGCTTATTCAATAATAATAAAATTTAATTATGTAGAGTTTTCAATGGTATTAATTGCATTTATGACAGATTTTTTTGTCATAAAAAGAATACTTTGATGACGGTAAAAGAACTCTTATTGAAAGCTTGTAATGAGAGGACATGAAGCCCGTCATTATTTGTAATTAACTACGGAGGCTATAGTGACGGGTGATCAGAGAAAATTCCTCTCATTAATTGTAATTAACTAGGGAGGCTATAGTTCTAGGCTTAATACACACAATTCTCTTAAAAATAGTTTTTTTACTTATTTTAGACAACCGTGAAAAATAACGGTGTGACACACACTACTAGTAATACATTACGGTTTCTCAAAACTTTGAAAATAGTTCTAGGATTAATAGTCTAACTACTGTTTAAAAAGGTATTCTTAATTTACTATTAACAACTTGTAATAGATTACGGTTTCTATGAATTTTAAAAATAGTTCTACGTTATATAAATATATTACTGTTACAAGGGAGTCATCTATTCTTGTAATAAACAACTATGCAAAACAAAACCATATGAAACATACAACTAACAATAAATTATTATTTCTTATAAGTTTAAAAACAGTTATAAACTAAAAAACCAGACTACTGCTTAGAAATAGTAGTCTTAACTAATTATTAACAACTGTGGCAACAAAAACTGTATTTTTACGTGAAACGGACTACTAATGAAAGATTACCGTTTCTCACAACTATAAAAACTGTTCTACCCTTAATTCATATACTACTGTTACAAAAGAGTCTTCTATTTCCATTAGAAACAACGGTGGCAAAAAAAACCATATGAAACAAACAACTAGCAATAGATAACTGTTTCTAATAAGTTTAAAAACAGTTCTAGACTAAAACACCAGACTACAGTTTAAATAGAGTATTCTTAACTTGTTATTGACAACTGTTGTAACAAAAACTGTATTTTGAACTGACACAGACAACTAGTGATAGATTACCGTTTCTCGAAACTTTAAAAATAGTTGTAAAGCAGTGTAGCTAGACTACTGTTCTGTAGCCAAGAAAAAATTACAATAGTCTATTTTTTTAACTACTGTGTTTCCATAAACAGTAGTTAATCAACAGTCGTCTGATACTGTTTTTGGCGTAGTGACACAACCATATGTCTTTTACTCTCATTACTTTAGTCACTTGACATATAATATTTCTTGGCTCATAACCTATTCTAGGCTAAGGATTATTTATTCTTAACTTACTATGGAGCCATGACCCTCCCTTTTGGAACAAAGGCCTCGCTAAACCAGCGAATGAGTTCCTCGTTAGATGGTCAAGATCACTGTCGCCGCCTTTGGAACGATAATTTACATATCTTGATGTGCACGTTTTTACCCGAATAGCCATTGTACCCAGTATGTACCACATTGCTCTAACCTATTTATACTTATGGCATAACTTGCCCCTACTTTGTTCAGGCCAGTCCTAGAGTTTTTCTAGGTAGACTAATTCAAAAATACCATTCTTCATTATCTCATACATAAGCATTATGACAAAAAAACCATGATCAGTAGTAATACACATAGCGACCTTGTGCTTGGAGAAGACCCCCACACTTACCATTATGCAACACACAAGACATTAGAAGTGACCCGAATCAACATCCCAGACTTCGAATAAGGACAAGCCTATTCGAATAAACTAGTACTTGGTACACTTCCTTATTCGAATAAGGCTCCATTTAGTCGATTAAGGAAACACAAACACATGCCACTAGAAGCCTGATTTATTCGAGTAAACCCCATGTAACACCCCAACCCACATAGCTCGAATACACAGGTCAGCGAACCAGGTTTCTACTAGAATGGCATACAAACACAACAATGTTCAAAACACTTTAAAACATTTAATTCATCATATTAATTAAAACATCCATCGGAATCAACAAAATGGTGTAGAAGCATAAGTACTTGAATTCAAAACACAACTTTGGGTTCTTGTCTAAAAACATAATAAACATAATATAATATCAAATTAAATAAACTCCTTCAGTCAGCATCCATCCATCTCTTTATCCTCGCTGCCCTCCAAGATTGGTTCCTTATTCGTCATTCTTATTACCTACGTGTAGCAAGTAAAACAAACTAAACACTCAGCTTTCATGCTGAGTGAGAGGTTCTAACATTAGAAGTCACACATAGGTTTATTTCAACATACATAATCATTCATAGGATTCCATGCACAAGTAATTTCACATAACAAAATTAAATAGAATCAATGATATCATAACACTTACCTTACTTATTTGATGATTGCTCCCGTTTTTAACTCAACATCCTTATCTTTGAGTAAGTTCATCTCTAACCCTTGCTCATAATCTATTCCAAGCTAAGGCTATTTTAGTTAACAGACACAGACACAACACTTTACATTACAACATGACTTTACCAACGTAGGAGTTCTCCGCTGGGTGGGTGATACCCCCCAATCCCCTTCAGAACGACAGATTATGGATCCTGTATGTACATTTTAACTAGCAACTATCAGATATTAGATCCGCAAGACTGATTCTACCTATTGATATTTATACTTGCAATCACACTATGGTAGTCCCAGAGTTCCTCTAGATAGCCTAATCATTTATTTATAACATCTCTTATATTCAGATTTATTCCAACAAGAATCTTAGTCCACTATATTTGTTAAAGGCATATCAAAATCATATTTTAAATATAATAAGATAGATAATAATAAACAATTAAATCATCATGCAATACAAATAGCGGTCTAGTGTCAGGTGTAAACACCATCCACTTAACATCATGTAATACACAAGATATCGGAATCAATTCGTGACTCAAATCAAAACAAACAAAAAAATAAAGGACTGGACACTGTTCGGTATGGTACTTTGGTACTGTTACACGGTACCTCGGTACCGTCCGACTCGCTCTTTCAAAATCGAAGTTAGGTTGTAGCGGTAGCGGTCGACCGCTTCGCAGTAGGACCCTATTGTCAACTGGAAAACACTAGGGAGCTTCTGGTTTAGACTATAATATTTATTTTTTTTCCAAATATTCATGGATCTATTAGCACAAAAAATACGTAACTAGAGTAAGAAATTATACCTGGCATCTTTCCTTCATCAATTAACTAATTTTAATTAAATCATAATAGAAAAAATAATAATCAACAATCATAATCAAATAAATCACATAAACGAATTGATAAGTTTGTTCATTCTTATCTTTTACTTTATATTCTAAACATTATTACACACAAACAGTATTTAATCATCTCATAAAATATGTTTTTCATAAATAAATCTATTGTTTTTGCTCTAAGAGTCATAAAAATGGATTCCACATGAAATAATTTTAAATCATTTATTTTCTGTTCAAATACTCGAGAAAAAGAGAAACAATCATCAAAGGACCAATATTTGTGCTTGAACGAGCTTCTGGGAGGTCAAAATCAATGTTCAGGGACTAAAAGAACGAATGGGCGAAAACTAGAGCTGAAACCCACATAGAAGCCCAAGCACGATGTTGGGGCGTCCAACTTAGACGCCCTAAGAAGCTTGTAGATGACGAAATAGAGGAAATGTGGCAAAAGTTTGTTGGACCCGAAGTAAGGGCTTCTAAAGTTGGATGCTCGGATTTGGATTTTGGACGCCCTAACTTGGACGCCCCAACACCCAGCCTATATAAACAGGCAAGATCTCCCCATTCCAACGATCCAACTCAAGGCCTTAGAGCCTCTTATCTCATTTCTTTCTCACTTTAAATTATAGTTTAGTAGTAGTTAGTTAGGAAGTATTTTTGGAGATTTCAACTCCAGATCTGTTCTATTCCGCTTGTTTCGAGATTGTGAGTTATCAATTTTTAATATAATGTTGATTTAATTATTTTGCATAGTATGAGTTAGGGTGCGGACCTTGGGTCCGAATTAGTTTGGAAATATACTTTAAGTGTTTAGTTAATGTTGAAATGATTATCCTGAAGTTGTTCTTGCTTTATGTAGTTAATTAATATGGACACATTTAGTTAGTTATATATTGGAAATACAAATAGGGTAATTACGAATCCTAGAAATGGGTGAGTTGTGGTAGAAATACAATCATTCCAAATATTTATTAAATGTAATATAGTCAACCCAGATGATGTCCTCACCCTTTTTCCAGATCTTACTTATACTATGCGAAATTATTCTTTATGATTTGTTTCCTTTTTATTCGATTCGAGAAGACTTTCATAAATCTATCCAAATCTTCTCATAGTTAGATAAAATATCTAATTCTTCGTCCACTCCTCAAGAAACAGGACACTCTAAGAGAGAACCAACCCTTCATTGGGAAGGTTTGCTATCCAAAAAAACTAATTCATCAAATGGTGACGTTATCAGGGAGTGGCACGGTTTTAGTTTAGTTTTTCTAATTAGCTTGGGTCAAGACCAGTTAGATCGATCTTCTCACTACTTTTTCACCAACCACTCGTAGTAATTATGAGTTTTTCAGAAAATTATTGTGGAACACCCTCTTACTACTCATCACCGAACTGCCCTCCGTACCCCATCACCACCGCCTTATCACCCACATCAGAATCTATATGATGATGACTAATAAGTCAATAATGGGTCTAACTATTATCCCTACCATGAGGAATCTGAAAGGTAATCATGCATGGATAGGCAGCGGAATATAAAAATTTTAACATCATAACATGATTATCTTGCCCAGAATCATGTACTAAAACATATAGTAGTAAGAAATTTATACCTTTCTCCGGAAGCGGTAAAAATGAAGAAGTCGTAGGAAGAGCGTTGAGAGTGCAAACGTAACCGTTCAAGCGTCCGGTCTCCAACTTTGACACACGAACAACGCCGGAGTCTACCACAATGTTTATGCTAGTAAAGATTATAGTAGTATAAAATATAAGGATTAAAATTGGGATAATAATAATCTTGTATATTTCTATAGAAAATATTTCTAATAATATTTAGAAAATATTATAGATATTTTCTATACACAAAATGATATTAATGGAACACAAAAAGAAGCATTTCTCTCTCTAAAATGTAATGGCCGAAATTTTCTTAACTTCTTTCAATTGAATGTGCGTTACATATAATGTGAAACATTAAAGAGGATTTAAAAAACAATTATACACTTAATGACAAATTAGGAAATTTCCAACATCTTTAAAATGCAAAGTCAAAAAGAAATTTGTCCTCATTAACATCACATGGCCGTATGTTATGATTTGAGAAGGATATTCAAAATTCTTCTCCACTCAAATGTTCAAAGTGTATTTTATTTGACACCAAAAATTAATATAAAATTAATTTTAAATCAAATAAAAATACCAATATCATTTTTAAACATGTATAAAATATACTTTAAATAGTTTATGTCAAAATAATTATTTTCATAATTAAAATGACAAACCAAAATAAAATATTCAATATATATATATATATATATATATATATTAATCGGCACATATATATAATATATATAACCGAATATTTATATATATATAATATTATATTCCAAAATATTTTACTTTACTATTTTTACAAATATACAAATTACTTATTATCCCATTGTTTAATCCTACTCCTTAAATTGTCCAAAGTGTGTGACCCGTATAGGCACTTATAAAGCTGACCATAGTATTGGCTCTGCACCAATACTATAAGGAATAAGCGGTATCTAGCAACACATTATTACCCCGAGATTATAAGTTAAGACGTTTGCATCGTCAAAACCTTTCCACGACTCAGACTCCGTGTAACTGTATCCCTTTGTCTCAATGTCTAAACTTAATGCAAGGGATTAATAAAATCCAACTTGTATCCATTAAGTCATTCACTGATATGATTTATCAAGTCTGACTGATAGGAACATACGTCATAAAAAACATCTCAGCATGGCCATGCAATTTCCTCAGTCATAACTTATCAATGGGCCCCATAAGACATTAATCTCTTTAAAAAGAGTAGTGACAAATCCTTTGTACGTAATCTACGTTTCTGAATACGCGCTGCGACATACCCAAAACAAAGCCTGTATACCATCCTTATTTCATATGGCTTAGGACAATGCATCAAAGCATGCGGGTTCACATATGCAGAAAACGTAATACTTCAAGTCGAAGGATAGTTACACCCGTGGTCGCGCTAAAAATGCTTAGAGCATGAACTAAAAGTTCAAGCAACATCTTTAGGATGGGTCAGTCCGGCATCCTATTATCTTCAGATAATATCTGCCCATGTGTGGATGTGAACACACCGTCATTGACTATGAGACTAAGTCAAACATCCAACACACGCTAGTCTCACATGCATTAATGATATCCCACTCTCGTTAATACTCGACTATGGACATTTAGATAAATATTTATTTCAAGATGTTAGTCTCATCAGCAGAATAACACTATCTGATAAACATCTTTAAATATAAATCTAGGAATATAATATTTGTTTACATTAGCATGAGATGTGTAAACATATTATATCTACCTATACATGATAGGATAACGATGAAAAGTTGGCCATCAGGGCACAACTCCAACAGAATCATCCTATCAATCCATACCTAGGAACCGTAGATATACTCCATATAACCGTAGGGATCATCATAGACCTCATGGCGATCAAAATGATTACGACCAATTAGGGCCGACGTATGACTACCAGCCTGATCCGTATGCTGACGAACTCCAGCGAATCGAGAATCTGATACGCAATGTGAATCAACAGTTGATTAATGAGAATCCAAATATCGATCTCCCTAATAACATTGATCAAACTCTATCGTGTGAATCACAAATTGAACTGAACAATTATATATTTCAGACAAGATTACATATTCTCAGATTAATCCGGCAAGAAAGATTAAAGCTGAAGCTTCGAGAGGATGAGAATAGGCGCAAAGATCTTAATGAAGCATTGATGGATGAGGACCCGTCATATCGACCCCCTCCTCTCTCCAATTATGATGACCAGACCCTTGTGCAAAAGCTTGAATGGAACAAGAGGGCCATCAATTAGAGATTCAACAGAATTGCCCAACTCGACGAACAAAGAGCCCAATGCCAAAGGGAAGTGAAGGAACTCTACGGAGAAGAAAATTAGGTAAAGGAACTTGGCCCGTTATTAGAAATACAAAATGTATTTGTCGAGTCCCTTGCGTATGATCAGTATTATAACTTTTCTCCTGAATCTTAGAGAAGACACATGGATCTTCATATCCTTCTCTGATCAAACAAGCTCAATTTCTTAGAATTGCAAGAGAAATTTAACCTTCAATCCTAAGAAGAGATGGAGCATTTGAGAACGTTGAGTCCACATCAAGCTATTCAAGAAAATGAGATTTATTCAGAACCTATTCTAGAAGATTCACCAAGTCCAACACTGTCTCAGAAACTCGAGTGCTTTACAACTCTTCAAATGCTTGCCAGGGCTACTAGGGTGATGTTACCTAATGTCCTCCAAGCAATGAAGTCGTACATGAGGTGGAGCCAACTAAGGGATCTGACTCAAAATCACCTATGCCAATTGAAGAAGAAAAGGATGAAGGAATTGTGCTCGTGGCAATAAACTTCCCTCTCCTTTATTGTGTCGAAGACACACCTCTAGAGGAATCTGTTCTGGAGGAAAGAGAGCCCAAAACAAACCCCAAGATTCTAACACTAAGGAGGCTGAATAGGAGTTTATAGACGAGGAAATACTCTGCACAGAATTACCAACCCTGTCTATAGAAACTTGAACAAACAAAGCGTCACAAGAAAGTTCTGACCAAACTTTCTTTGACTCCCTACCTGACGAGTGTGACTATGTCTGCCCGGAGGATAGTTGTAGCCAAACAAGTTGGGATGAACATCTGATGGGTGATACCAACGACTCTCTCATAGGGGTAAGAAATGTCATGATTATTGAGCCGTAACAGAATAGTCAGCTCGCTGAAGATGATGTAAGGATCAACCTGGAAAGTAAGGCGAATGATGTGGTTCTGCCGAGGAGACTCCCACCACCACCCATCCATCCTGAGTCTCCTCCCTATATCCTATTTCTTCCAAGCCACAGGGACAATTCAAGGATCCTGGACCTTGGCTGAGAAAAATATCAAACAAGGTAGCATCAAAAGAGAGTGAGAAAGGCCAAACTTTATGACTCTCAAATCGGAAAGTCACGGAAAAAGTGGCTTAATGTCAAGCGACGTAAAAGAAGCGCTCAACGGGAGGCAACCCATCATTTAAAAAACACATATAATAATAATAGTTTTTGAGGATATGCTTGCCGCACCAGTTGTGTGGGCAAGAGTTATTTTATTTGTTTTCCTTATTTTTGCAAATGGGAGGACCGTAAGGCATTCTTTGTAGGGTATCACGCTTTCTTTGAAGCAAAGAAGAAGTCGGCACCTGAGGAAAACACAAAGTTTCGACTACCTTCAATGCTTCGTGATCCAGCAGTCCCGGTTGAAATGGGCTAGTGAGGGGATATTCATGCCTTCATCTCTTATCTGGAATTTTTGAACATGATTTTGGTGATCTAAAATTGATTTTATATGAAATTATTGGTTAAGACTATTTTGTATGCAATTACTCTTTATGATACTGATTTATTACTATTTCAATCTTCATCATTGAATCCTTTAACTTTGAGGTCAACCTAGTAATTGCTTGTGGATATTTCCACAAAAAACTCTTAATCCAAAACACTTTTTAAACATGAGGGCATGGTTTCATTTAAGTGTGAGAAGGTGAGAATTTTTTTTGTTGTAAGATCTTTTTAGGAATTTTTTTGTCTATATATTTGTAGGAAAAGATTTTATAAAATAGTCATCAACTTTATTTGTTCGATTAATTAATTTTTAGTTATCACTTATAAAAATTGGAAATTTTTACCATTTTTTGTCAAACTTGTTTTTTTCTAAAGTTTTGAGAATGTTTTCTGAAATGATTTGGGACAAGTTCAATTTTTTAAATAGTTTTTAAGATCAAACAAATTATAATTGCCTTTTTGAAATTTTTTTGAAAATTCTCTTTTACCCTTTGGAATCTAAGTATTTGTTCCTTCTTCAAAAAAAGAATTTTTCCCAAAATGTAAAGGGATGTCTTTTAGAAAAAATTACATACTTTGGGGAGATCGAAATTTTTGTTTTAGCTAAAAAACAGTTGGTTCTATATCAATTGATGAGGCTAGGTGAGTATGCCAAAAAGCATGTGGTTCTATATCGTGTGATTAAGCCTTTTGAGTGTTAAAGTAATAAGGAATGTGGTTCTATGTCGCATGATGAGACTTTTCAGAGTGCCTATCCAAAAATCTCGTGGTTCTATGTCACGGAATGAGGATAGAAATTTTTACAAAAAGTTCGTGGTTCTATATCGCGGATGAGGATATAAATTTTTCTCATATCAACATGACAAAGTCATGCCTAAAAACAAACTCTTATTGTTGGGTTATGGAACCCTGAGCCTAGGAGACTAGGCGAAAGAGTATCGAACAAGAGTCAAGAATGCTCAAGTTAGGAATCAAGTGAGATTGCAAATATTAGTGTCCAAGAGAACGTGTCTTTTCCCCTCTTCGAAGAGAGGCTTATATAAGATTACAAACGGGCCTTCCCGACCGTTGCTACAAAATCCAACAGGTCAGGCCCACAAAGATCTGGCCGTCTGACCGGCGACGCCAACCATATGATTATTCCTAGGGCCGAGCGTGGGTATGTCCCGATGTGGCAGCTCCTTTGAGACTTTGCTTTCTTTCAACCCCACCTAGCTGAGTAAGACAGGTTTGAATTGAGCCATGTTGGGCCACTATTCTTGTTGGGCCTGATACCCCCATTCTGAGGTATCCATCATGAGTCCCCCACTTCCCAGGCCGAGACGTGAGAGTTGCTGAGAAGATGCATGGTTTTTCTTCCATAATTATTAAGACTTTGAAATACTTTGGGACTCCAACCCACATTTGTTCTTTTGTTGAATCTTATCTAGCATCCACAACTTTTTGTTTAAATTACTTCTACAATTATTTTTATAAAGTTTTGAGAAAGCTATGTTTTTAAATTACTATTACTTTGTAAATTACGAGATGTTACTATACCAAATTGTTAACCCTCATGTTTCCTAATCCGTGGAAATCGAGTTAAGAGGGTCGGGGTGTTACAAAGAAGTTCCAATTTTGTCTAATTTTGAATCAAGTGACTCAAACTGACATTTCACTATCCAAGTGTATGGCTAGATAAGGACCAGTGTTAGGAATGTGAAAGTACATGTTCTAGTGTTGAATATAATCTATTAAAAAGATAATTGAGGGTGAAAGTTGCATTTTAATGAGGTTTGATTTGGTAAAAGTCTCAATTCAGAACTAAGTGACACATACCATTACTACCAAATATCCGATCAAACACAGGCATGTACATCACACATCTTTCACTTTTCACACACCAACTCACTTGTACCAACAAATATCATACATCATTTACTAATGCCCATTTAGTAGCAACCTGGTTTGCTAACCCAATTATTGTGGTTGATATTAGGTATTGTATTTTCGTTTTATTTAGTTATTTGATTTTTCATTATTTATTTACTTAAAATGCAAGGATGTTGGATGTTGTTTTGAAGGCTTCTGCAAATATTAGATTTATTACTTTGAATGATTTATGTTATAAATTAGTATGAATATATGGATATTTATGTTAAATGTTTTAAATATATTGCTTGTGAATACCATATTAGTAACAATCCATTTTGCTAACTCGTTGATTCCGGTTACGCGGGTTAAGGTGTTACATGCCTACTCGATTGTTTCTCGCATCAAATTGGTTCTTTCATTAAGAGCTGAAAGATATACTCGTATGTTAAATCTTGTTACGAGAGTGGTACACACAAGGAGTGATAACCATCACGTCACTAGCAACCCCAACAACGGAGAGGGAGCTAGCCAAGCGGAGATCCACCATATGGGAGTTGTCATCCCTAGCATCATGACCTTGGAGGCGGTACAAACTTTATTCAGTCTGGTGTAACTCTGGAGCAACTCCAAGTGCCTGTGACCGCACTCTCAGCTATGGGCGAAAGTGCGCGTGGCATTGTAGGAACTTCGACACAAGTAGCACCTTGACTTCACACGATGCCACCTCCCAGACCAAAGGAAATAAGCCTCGCAAGAATAGGAAGAAGGCGGGCAAAGCTCCAATCATCAAAGGAAGACGTCGAAAAGGACAAAGAATCAAGCGAGGGTCGGGTTTCCGCCTTCATACACTTGGGAAAAGTGGAAGACCAAGTTTCCACCTTAAATAACAAGATGATGGAATTATGAAGATACTTTTTCCAAAAAATGAAATGAGAATAGGAAAATTAAACACCCCAAAAACAAAAATGCGACCAAAAGTGTAAAATTGAGGGAGTACTCTTAGGGTCTATTTAGTGAGTTTTGGAGGTAGGGGTGGACACGGTACCGGTACGGTACCGTGACCGGCAACGGTACCGCCGGTACCGACCACCGTCACCGCCGGCCGGGACGTACCACCGGTTCCGGGAACCGGTACCGGCACCGCCCCCTACAGTACCGGTTCCGGTGCCATTATTTCGGTACCGGTACCGGTTCCGGTACCCTTTGTATTTTTTTGCTTGTTCCGGTTTCCACCTCTCTTTTTAGAACTCCAGTCTCCAGAACCGCCGGTCCGGGTACCGAAACCGGTACCGTCCGGTCCGGTCACGGTACCAGTATCAAGGGGTGGCGGTACCGGAACCGTCCCGGAACCGTACCGTGTCCACCCCTATTTGGAGGTATGATATGATATGAGTTTTGAAATTTGAGAGAAATGATATGGGTTCCGAAATCTGAAATGAAGTTATTTAGAGATATTTAAAATTATAATTTAATTAATGATGGGTGGGGGTGACTGGAAACGTGGATGGATGGCTGTGATAATGGTAGCTGGTGGCGGGAGTCGGAAAATGATCAATGTCATCTATCATGTCTAATGACTGTCAAAAATGTATTTTTTCTATTTTGTCCTTACTATAGTCATTTAGATAACAATTTTGAATTTTTGAAAAATAGTTACATAAGAAATATAGAAAATTTAATAAAAAAAAGGAAACAAGGTGAAGAAAAGAAGTAAAAAGTGAAGGCTCTGGCTTTATTAACACAAAAAAATTAAGGACAAAATGGAAAGAAATATATTTTTTAACGTCATTAACGGAATAATAAAAAAAATATCCGCTCTTAGTCTTTACAAAAAAGTTTAAGGACATGTTGTCTTTTTTATAATAGAGGGACACTTAAATCTATTTCATAAAATCACAAAGCGGGAGTTGACTTTGTAGAGTTGATAATAGGGTTGTAAACGAACTGAATTGAAGCAAATATCGAGACATTTGAATTTGTATTTGTTTACTTTTTTTGAATACGAATCCAATTATGAAACGAATTAAAAATAAGATTTATATTTGTATTTGATTAATATTCGAATCGTTATCAAATCTTAAACAAATATTCGAATAATCATATCCGTACTCCATAATTTATATGATGAACCAACATCTATTTTGAATAATTTAACTTACAATATTTCCTATACTATATCTAAAACATTAATATATTTACGTCTTACATAAATTCATAATATATACCATACAATCGGTCCACTACAAAAAACTTGACTTTTTGTGGCACCAAATTTTGCTACAAAACATAAAAAATTAGCCACAATAACAATTTGTAACAATTTAGGAATTTGCCACAAGGTTGCCACAGATACCCCGTTACAAAAGGTATTTGTGGCAAATTTATTTTTGCTACAAAAATCAAGGTTTTTGTGGCAAATTATGATTTGCCACTAATACAAATTTGCTACAAAAGCTCATGTTTAGTGGCAAATTTCAATTGCCACGAATTCTAATCCGCCACAAAAGCTAATGTTTAGTAGCAAATTTATGTTGTCACAAAATATACTTTGCCACAAAAACTCAAATTTAGTGGCAAATTTTAATTGCTGCAAATTCTTGATTATATTACATTTTCTCTTAAATAAAAAATTTTATTACAATAAAAATGGAAAGATACAATGGCATGTTGTATGTGTAATGCCAAAAACTTGGGTACAATAACCTAAAGCCATGAGATGACAAATTGTCTTAAGTATCAATAGTTACATTAAGAGCTAAAAAAGCCTAAAACCACTCATGCTTTCCAGGGAGTTCACATTTAAAAGATGAGGAGATACTTTTAAATAACAATGCTTCTCCTTGTGCGCTCTCTCAAAGTAAATAAGCTCCAGTCCTTCTAATGCTCCTTTGGTGCTGTCCAAATCCTCTAGAACGTGCATTTTTTTACTCTTCTACAGCATCACATTCTTTTATCGGCTCTCCTCCAACACTGTACCTAGTTGTTGATCAATAAATTTTCATATCTGCATATTGACAAACCCCAATAATAAGTCTTCTATCTTTTTTGTGGTTGGTTATAGTAGTTATATTAGTAACAATGACAGTTCCCAATAACAACCAAGAATACACAATGTGTTTCCATCTTCAACATAGACCACCTGGACAATTGCATTTCTACTATTAAATTGTATTGGATAAATCATTAATGGCTAGGATAAGTTAAGACCCCAATCAAGTAGAATGAAATCCATTATATGCTTAAACTGTGCATCTAGAATCCAATAGAATAAAATGGCATTGGAGCTTGAGAAAAAAACTAGATTATAAACACTGGGAGGTAATAGAGTAGGTAAAATCAGACCTTGGTTCCTTCCAAGTGACCAACGTGTTCAATGATAGTAAGTGCAACGGCCATGATTTGGCATGGGTGGTTGTAATTTGTTAATCCATTAACAAATACAAAAGTGCCGTAGCAATTGAGCCCCATCAATTCCCTGAGCATCACCTAATGGTAATGAATGTGACAAATGTGTTATAACAAAATAAGAGAATGTGACTAATGCTTCAACCATCAAAAGAAAACCAAAATAGAACTCATTAGCTTACTTGATGAGCACACACATATGCCATGCATGGCTTTGCACAAATCATTGCCATACAGAAATATACTAATATAGTTACTACAGAAACCTGTCAAACAATAATTTATTTATTATCTTTTCTTTATCGATAGCATAGAAAAATACTCTTATATCTTTTACGACTAATATGTACAAATATTAACAGAACACAAAATATTTATATAGTAATTAAGTAATATTTATATATAAAGTAGGAGTAATAAACTAAATAAACATAAGACTACTCTGTTAGAGCCTTCTTGAGACTCAACAATAAAGATAAGATCACAAACAAAACTAAATATAAATAAAAAAGAGAATTCATCCTAATTTATTTTAAGAATTTTATCTCTAACTCATCACATGAAAACTCGAATTAAGGTGTTGCAGATGTATATACCTGGGGGTGATCAAGGATTGACAAGAGTGCTGCATGATCCCTCACAAATGGCTCAATTCTGGCATCACTTTCAGCAGCTTGCTTCTAATTTGCTACATACTTGTTCAATCTCTCGTGTAAATTCTTTTTAGAGTACTTTATCAAGGTCCACTCCATTGAATTCCAAATTGAATCCTAAAATTTAAATCTTCTGTTGACTCTTTTGCAAAAGCTCCTAAGTTTGCACCAAGAGCTCATTGTTCACACTACTTAGATCTTTGAGGTTCTGTGGTTCAGCTTCCATACCAGCTGCGCCACCACAAATTTATGCAGCCTCTGTTTCTTTTTTCACAGCTATAGGCAGAGAGATACATCCCTCTAATGCAAAAATTGAATCAAGAGAATCCATTGCCTTGGGCCTCAATCGAGCTAGTTCAATTCAATACCCTGTTTGACCTCAAATAGAGATGTAAAAAATACTTGGATTCAACATAACAACATAACAAACACAAACATGCCACATATGGGTTGAAAAAAGAATCAAACCAACTTTTAATCACAATTAAAATCCAAATTCATATATTTTTTGAGAAAATTAGATACTCAATCCAACATTTAACACAATCAAAGCTTAATCCAAATCAGTCCAAACTTTAACACATAGATAGAATAAACTAAAATAGAAGGTAGACATAAAATCGAACATAAACTTGAAAGGAATTGAAGAACAACTAGGATTCCATGTTTATACCGATAAATAAGTATTGGACATTGGACTTTGTGTGATTTGGTGCAGAATTTTTTGTTCGATCAGTGCAAGAAGTCATCGTTCTCTGTAATTCCCCGTCGCCTATGCCTGCTGCATCCGTCGTTGCTTGAAATTGGAGCAAGCCACCGCCGCTCGGTAATCGCCTGCTCGCCTTTGCTTTGCATCATCTAAAAACTAGGCATGGGCGTGCTAACCGTCGTCAACCCTCGATCTCCATGTTTGCTGTCACGATCGAAAAAAAACAGACAAAATATCGCGGACCTCATCTGTAGTATCTACTCTGTATTTTACATGGATTGGACCTCAAAATTTGGGCTTCCCTTTTTTTTAAATCCCAGTGGGCTTCCCTTTAGGTCCAATTATTTAGATATAGTAGCAATCTTATACTATTGCCACAATAAGACTATTATTTTGTGGCAAATTTCTAATTACCACAAATATTTATGAACTATTTAAATATTGTGGCAAATATTTATTTTGCTACTAAAACTTAGCCACAAAAAGTCATATTTTTTGTAGTGGTCCTACGATATTCCACATACATTCACAGCCAATATTCATTTACGAGTAACTGAATGCTCATTTTCGAGCAAGTGAATACTTATTCTCGAGTAACTGAATATTCATTTCTCTAAAATTCAGCTACGCTCGAAAATGAGTACTTAGTTAATTACGTAGTACTTGACAATGAGTATTCATGCAGATATACGAAAGTATCATACATTCGGATGTATGATATAAGTACTTACATAATTATATATTATAAAATATACATCCGGAGTAACTATTAAAAATTGACTAAATTCCATAATTAGTCCATTATAACATGTTGGTTTTCATATTTAGTCCTCTATTATCAAATATTACCCCCGTAGTCCTTTTTTTAAGGGTACCTTTCCACAAATGGTCCTTTTTTTGATCTTCTGTCGTGTTGGTGTTAATTTAAAAGCTAAAAGTATAATTTGACGTCAACATTATTATGTCTAGTGACGTGTTCTGATATTAGTTAAGCGGATAACACAAAAATAATGACTATGATTGTGGGCTAGAATTCTGACGAAAGATCACATTTGTAGACTATAGTTGTCGTAAAAAACGACTGTAATTCACAAACGATGCAAACGGAACAGCCTTTGGAATTGTGTATGACAAAAAAGATATATTATCATTGTGAAATTATACTTTTAGCCCTCGAATTAACACCAACATGATAGAAGATCAAAAAAAGGACTATTTGTGNAAAGTGGTCCTTCTTTTATGGGTACCTTTCCACAAATAGTCCTTTTTTTGATCTTCTATCATGTTGGTGTTAATTCGAGGGCTAAAAGTATAATTTCACAATGATAATATATCTTTTTTGTCATACACAATTCCAAAGGCTGTTCCGTTTGCATCGTTTGTGAATTACAGTCGTTTTTTACGACAACTATAGTCTACAAATGTGATCTTTCGTCAGAATCCTAGCCCACAATCATAGTCATTATTTTTGTGTTATCCGCTTAACTAATATTAGAACACGTCACTAGACATAATAATGTTGACGTCAAATTATACTTTTAGCTTTTAAATTAACACCAACACGACAGAAGATCAAAAAAAGGACCATTTGTGGAAAGGTACCCTTAAAAAAAGGACTACGGGGGTAATATTTGATAATAGAGGACTAAATATGAAAACCCACATGTTATAATGGATTAATTATGGAATTTAGTCTTATTAATTTTGAAAATATTGTGCTTGTATATATATGTTTTCGTTTCCATCATCTCCGATGGAGCCAAAATTTCACCATTTTTTGGCTTTGGGGTGTGATGAAATAAATCAAAATGGATCTCTAAACTGTCTGCGCTTCTTTAATTAATGAAGTAGCAATTAGTCAAACAATGCAACTTTCGACGTTGAGCCGGGGGTCTCTTTGGAAACAGCCTTTTAGCTTTTAGAGTAGGGTAAGGTATGCCTACACATATATATGTTTTCGCCGACCATCGGAGACCGACGCCGACGCTATCCTTCCACCCCGTCTCCGCCTCCACCATCCGCAAACCTCTCGCCGGAGGCCACCAGCCGCCTAAGCTGTCCTTTAGCCCGGAACGCCGTCGCAGTGTAATCTCTCTCCCCATATCTCCGTCGCCGCTGTCAAACCCTTACCCTCCGTTCACCTATAGGGATTAGGGAGTACCAATTTTGCTAAAAAGTGTCATTGTTTGAGACGGTTTCAGATACTCCGTAAGATTTAACTTGGTTTGAAATCCCCATTTCCACCAAAAGAAGATAGGGCTAAGTCACTAGCAGACAACTTTTTACTAAAGGCCAGCATAAAATAGAAGTAATCAAGTAAATAAAACCCCTACTTACAAGGAGTGGAATGGATTGTAGAGTTCTTTCTTGTGGAACCTTTAACTTTACCCGGAATTTGGGTGGAAATTCTGGCCGGGATACAATTATTGGTCGAAAGTATTCTCATTTCCGTGCAGGTACCCTGAATTTACCCCCTGCTTTTAGATCACTCCGTTAACTTGCATGTGTAGCTTTATGTCATTGTTGGTGAAGAGAATCTCATTTCTCCGTTTTTATGTTTTCATTGCGTAGCATTTTGACACGAGCTGAAATGCAAAATCTATTGTGTGTTGTCTGTTAATAATTGTTGCTCCATAGTGTAAGTCTAAAATACTTGTAATTCATATCAGAAGCAGTAAAAAGTTAGAGCTATTATTTCTTTTCTTCGTTTTCTCTTTTCTGTGCTTGTATTAATATGTATGTTTATGTGTCCGAAATGGCCATGTCATACTTTCATTACTACTTTTTTTTTCTGAGCTTCTACCATGATATGATTGCTTTTGCAGGCTCATTTTGTATGACAATCAGGTCTGGAATGAAGTCTTATAGGCTGTCAGAGCTTTCACACTCTGAGGCTGATGGACTGAAAGCTCGTCCTCGCATAAATTTCTCTTCTATATTCAACTTGGTGAGTATTGAATTTGCCTAAAGGCTATCTTTTAACATCAGCTTTTTTAATGTGTGTTTGTGAACACACACACACACGCTTATTCATAGACTGATTTCTTTATCCCATTTTGAATTTTTGAATTCAAAATTCTCAGGTCCAGCCCATTGTTGATGATGTTCGTAGTAGAGGTGATGCAGCTGTAAAAGAGTTTGTGCTCGTTTACATTTTTCTTGTGTTTATCTCTTACGTCATTGGAGATGTTGGATTTCAACTTCTTACTAATTTTATGTGTTGGAACCCTCAAGTAGTACCCCCCGCGTCCTCTTTGGTTCTTCCCATTTAACTTTTCACGGTCTCTGATACAACATTTTCTTTGACCATTAATATTTTTATTTATATATAGATATATATTACTCCCTCCGTCCCACAGTTCATGTTCATTTTCTATTTCGCACAAAAACCAAGGGAGTGAAGGACTAAACTGCCCTTCTAATGTGTTGTACCATAGAGAAGTAAAGCAAAGAGACAAGGCCACAACTTTATTGAAATGGAAAGAAGAAAGTAAAAAATTGATTGGACATGTACAATGATTCTCTAAACTCTAATTGGCTAAAAAGTAAAGTGGACTACTCAAAATTACTATTCAACCAATGTCATCTCATCAAGTACACCTTCCCATACTTGGGGCGCCATTGGGATGGTTTTAATTGATGAGGGTAAATTGGGAACTTCACTTAAATTTCTTTGCCATTTATAGAAAGTGGACGAATCTCGTGGGATGGCCCAAAATAGAATAGTGGACAAATATTGTGGGACGGAGGGAGTATTAAAATATGTTATTTCAAATCTATGTTTCAAAATGAACCTATTGATATTCAATCTATATCACAATTCTAAGGTAGTCAAACTCGAGATTCTACGTAGATGCTCAACGTTTTTCAAATGTTGACCAAGAAAAGTCGAGCTCCTTTTTTAAATGTGAGTCGTTTAAAACATGAAGTTCCTATGTCGAGCTCCTTTTTTAGCATTACTTACTTCATAGTTGAGAACATTCTTAATCTTTAAAAGGCTATCTGTTTAACTTTCAAATGATTCCATTTCCATATATTGAATTTTTTTATTAATGCAAAATGCCTTGGCGCATGCCATCTGGAATATCGTGTCATGATCGTATAATATTGCTTTCTCTTATAGTGTTAAGTACAAGTTCTGAGTACAGTACTTGGAATTGTTTGCCTAAGTTAAATGGTTTTGCTGCTCCTTGATATCAACATGAAGGCCTTATTTGTACAGTTGTACTTTGGCTATTCTCCAACCCAATCGCTGCTCAGAGCAGCTTTTGATGTGTCAAAAAGAGCATTTAGATGTCAAACACTGATACACAAACAAGGCCCATGAAATTTTCAGACAATACATATTTTGTGAGGCATTTATGTAATTGTCTACTCTTTGACAGCTATACCATCCAGTATGACAAGGTTGAAGTGCAGAAGGTGGTTGAAAATGTTTCTGAACTTGCTGACCCCGAGGTATACACTTCCAATGCTAATTTTTTAAAATTTGTATGTAATCCTTAGTTCTTTTTATTGAGCTTATATGCTTCTTGAAATGTTTTTTAAGCTTTAAATTGATCTTGTTTGAGAATTGTTCTTGCCATGTCTAAATATATATGTTTACAAAGTTGACTAAATACTCAGAGATACACTATTCGAAATTGTTTCAGCTTCAAGCAGATGTTCGTGAGGCATTTGATTTAGCATATGACAACATATATGCCTTTCATGCTGCACAAAAGCCTGCTGAGAGAACTGTTGAGAACATGCAAGTATGAAATGACTACGTACTTGAATGTAGAATCTTAGGGTGTGTTTGGATAACAAAGTGTACTTTCATGACCATGTAATTACTAGGGTAGTAATTACACTAGTGAGTAATTATATAGATTTTTAATTACAAGGACTGTTTCACCTGTTTGATAGTCGCAAACTCACAGTATCATTACTTCGTATGCGTTTGGTTATGAAGTAGTGTATTTGAGTCTTTTTGATTAATAGACGTGTAATTCGTGTTACTACACCAATTCCAATCCCCTCCCTTCGATTTTAAAAAGTGTTATTGAACCCTTCAAATTACACCAATTACGCGCTGATTATATAATTACCAGTCAGTCAAACACGACGAAGAGTGTAAAGTAAATTATCCAAACATGCTCTCATTTTAAAGCACATTATCATGAACTCTTGAATTTCCACATCTACAGGGTGTTAGATGCAAACGTGTAGCTAGGAGCATTGCTTCCGTCGGTCTTTATGTCCCTGGTGGAACTGCTATTTTACCTTCCACTGCCCTGATGCTTGCAATTGTATGATGGCTTTGCTTACTGTTTCAGTTATCAGTTATATTTATTCCATTTAGCTTTTATTTAGTGGATATTTTGTACTTATGCATTTATTTTGAATTTAGTATTTTTCTTCTTTGGACAGCCTGCCCAAATTGCTGGGTGCAAAACTGTTGTACTCGCAACTCCACCCACTCGGGATGGTAGCATTTGCAAGGTATTAGTTCATGGAATTGTTGTGTAAATTTCATCATTTTCATGTAAAACAAATTTCTCGTGAAAATTGATCGAACATGGCTGTATAGGAGGTCCTTTATTGTGCCAAGAAATCTGGTGTCACTCACATTCTCAAAGCTGGAGGTGCTCAGGTTTGAGTCATGGTGGAATGCACACAAGATTCTTATGGTTTTTATTTATTTATTTATAATAATAGCCTTTACTGTGTTCACCTTTTTGCAGGCCATTTCTGCAATGGCATGGGGGACCAAATCTTGCCCAAAGGTACTAATTCATCATGATGACTTTATACTTGTGCTACTTTTGTCAAAGGAGCATGTTCTCTGCATTTAAATGACACAGGAAGTAGCTTTTCATAACTTTCCTTGTATGTCTCGTCTCTAGTGTGTAATGCTCCATCTGTTCTCTTTTAACTGTCCTATTGACATTTTTGATGCATTAAAATATGAATGACTGTGGGACATAGTGAATTCCTACCTTCATTCAATTTTCAGAGTATGCAAGAACTCCACCGGTCAATGAAAAGAACACGGAAAGAGGACCATAGAAACATCCAATTCCTATGTTAAGCGTGTTCCTCTTTGCTTTTTTTGGATGTTATTTCTAGAGGGATTTAAGAGAATGTCCCGTGGTGTATGTTATTTGCAAATGACATTGCATTGGTAATCTAGATGAAGGGGTGATAGAAAGTTGATGCAATGGAAGGCGGCATTGGAAGCACACGGCTTGCACATTAGCCATTCCAAAGGCAGAATACCTGTAATACCTGAAGTGCAATTTTTGCGTGATACACGATTATGAGAGTGTAGAAGTTAGCATTCTGCCATTGTGGAGCAAATGGAAGCACATAAGGATAGATTCAAGTATTTGGGATTGTCCTCCAAAAAGAGGGAGAGCTGAAGGATAACATCAAAAATCATATGAAGGCAAGATGTTTAAATTGAAGAGATGCTGTATATATGATGTGACAAGAACTTCCCATTAAATTACAAGGGTAAATTTTATGGAGTGCAAAAGTGCAGGAGCAGAAGTTAGAAATTGTGGAAATGAGGATGTTGCGGTGGACATATAGTCATTCTAGAATGGAGAGAGAGCTAGTAGTTGCACTTATTTCTGATAAAGCAAGAATACTGATAATGCAGACTTCGGTCGAGGCGGTGAGGAGAAAAGGTTGGTCGGGAATGATGTGAGATGAATAGTTGACTTGTCTGCCTTAAACCTCTTTTGACAACATGACATTTGATAGGTGTTTCTGGAGCGACAACTGGTGGGGTTTTAGAGGAATGTTGTGAGCGTTAGTTGGTTGTTTGATTCTTGCTTATCTAGTCACTTTCTTTTTCCCTTGTCTCTTTGTCCTTCTGTAGCTGCTTTTTGCATTTTATCACTTGCTTCCTTTTTTGCTCATAGTCAGCACATTAACTCACTTTCATTTTTTTTCTTCTTCAAATGTTGCAAATTCTTTCAAGTCTATCTTCTTGCAGTATTTAATATTTTTGCCTTTGCAAGAGATTCCCCAAAAATTGTCCTTCTATCCATGGGATAGAAATAAGGTTTACGTATATCTCAACATCCCAAGACCTCATTGAGCAGGAGACCAAATATTCCACCTAGAAGCAAAAGATTAAGAATGTATAAAATAGAGTAAACGAGGCGGGAGTTGATGTACTGTAAAACTAAAAAAAGTTGCATAGACATTTATACCCTGCCAAGAAATCTTAATTCTTAAATCTTAAATCTTAAATCTTAAATCTTAATCTTAATTTTAGACTTAATCTTAATTTTAGACTTTGAGTGCATAAATGAAAATTGATAGTAGGAGCAGAAGGCCAAAAATGAAATGCTCTTGCTGACTCTGAGCGTAGAAAGCATAGAGCAAAAGCCTTTATACAATTCTCTTGTGGGTGTAGAACACTGGTATAACATGAGTATTTGTGTTGGTGTGAAACCTAAGGAGTCGATCGCAAGAGTCAAGTCTAGTCACCAGTGTCTCTTGGATTTTCTGACATGTGATGCCTGTTTCTGTCCATTTGCGCGAGTTGATTTAAGCGATGTTGCAATTCTCCTCGTTGATTCGTACGAGTTGTATGAAGTGCCGATCTTGTTTGTGATTCTGGTTTCAAGTTCTTGTTCGATCTGCAAAATGGGATGACTCTACGAGTCGGCACGTGATCTTGACTACCTTGCTTACTATGAGGTTTAGCTTAGTCAGGCCCCGTTCCGTTCAACTTATTTTTTCTTATTTTTCTTATTCTTATTAAAATCAGATCAGATCAGACCAGACCAGATCAGATCAGATCGAATCAGATCAGATCAGATCGAATCAGATCAGATCAGATCAGATAAGATCCAATCAGATCAAATCAGATCCAATCAGATCAGATCAGATCCTATCAGATCAGATCCAATCAGATCAGATCAGGACTTATTAAAATAAGATCTCATCAAGAATTATTATTATTATTATTATTATCATCATCATCATCATCATCATCATCATCATCATCGTCGTCGTCGTCGTCGTCGTCATCATCATCATCATTATTATTATTATTATTATTATTGTTCTTAAAAATGAAAAAGAATAAACTTTAGAAATATGTTAAATAAAAAGATGAGAAAGTAATCCTTAATTATTAGACGTCGGAAAAATTAGTTTCAGAATACATTGACAATGTCAATCTAATTCTACTTTTAAAATATATTTTTATTGCTACTTGTAATTTGAGTTTCTAAACTTTTAATCTTTTATAAGGATGAGATATTTTAATAAAAATACTATCTCTTCTATATATTGATTATCTAAATTTAATTACTTTTAAATGTATATCTAACTTAAATATTTATTCTAATGTATAATTCTAATTTTACAAAAAAATAATCATAAAATAAAAAATATTACTCCCTCCGTCCCATAAAGTGTTACCCTTTTTGACTAAATTAGAAATTAAGGGAGAGATAATTTTGTGTTGACTTTCCAAAAATACCCTTGATGTGATGTGTAAAAGTAGGATGTAATGTATAGATTATTAGGAAAAAGGTATGATGTGATAGGTATGGTTTGAAAAAGTAAGGGGTAAAAGTGGTTTTTTAATAGAAATGGGTAGGAGATTGTGGGACACAATTTTTTTGAAAGGTGTAAATCTTTTTGGGACGGAGGGAGTATTACATTATAATATGAATGATTATTCTAATATATGAATTAACTATTTTTATTTTATTAAAAAATAATCATTAAATAAAAAATATTGATTATATTATAATATGAATTATCATTATAATTTTCAAACGTTATTATAAAGTCAAATTAAATTATTGATTTGAAATTTTAAATTAAATCATAATTAATCAGATCAGACCAGATCAGATCAAATCAGATCAGATCCAATCAGATCAGATCCAATCAGATCAGATCAGACCAGATCAGATCAGAACTTATTAGAATCAGATCAGATCAGAAAAAATAAGTTGAACGGAACGGAGCCTCAATTTATCATGGCACCAAGGTTCTTAAACAACCTCTCTATTTTTTAGGAGTATAATTGCGTAAATGTTAAGCCCCTAGACCCTGAACGTTTTGGGATTATAGTGGGTTTATTGTTCTAGGTTATGCATTGGAATTCTCAAGGGGAATCATTTCTCTGTTTGCGTCATGTTTTATTCTCAGACAACTCACAAAAACCTTATTGTAAATAAAAGATGTTTGCGATACTTTAGTGAAGCGATGAGCATTTACAAATTGCATAATATAAGAATTTTTTGTCACGATTGTAAAATGTTTTGGGGTTTCCTGAATTATATTTATAAGACTTGTATTCCAATTCTTATGAAGAAACCATGATTAATACTAGTTAATGCTATGCTTAGGTTTGTAATTTTTAATTATTTTACTCTTTATTAGAAACTCACATTCCCTCTTGTCCTATTTAATTAGGTCACGATTTTGGCTTTTGTGCAACCATTGAAATAATTAAAACCATCTTAATATTTTTATGCCTTAATTCTATAGTACTTCGTTGTCCACAACAACCTCAATAAGAAATGTCAACCCTTCATCTGTACTCATTTAAATATTTAATGGAGGCAATAGTGGAAAAACGAACTTACTATGCATTGACATTATATAAATGATTTATATTTAGAACTTTCTATCATGTTCTAATAGAAATAGAACCATAGGGAGTATGAATGTTTTATATTCCGGAGTATTTAATTTTTAAACATGTGAACAATTATTATTTGTGCATGTTTTTGAGGAACAAGTCTGTGTACATGCACATATTTTTTAAATTTAATATATATACCTTTTCTCCATTTTTTCTTGTCCTACATTAAAAAACCTGCTTTGCCATGTCTTGTCTCCAATTTTACAATTTACATTTTTTGTCTCTATGCTTCATAGATTGTGATTTGACAGGTTGAGAAAATTTATGGTCCGGGAAACCAGTATGTCACTGCTGCAAAAATGATTCTTCAGGTATTCATGAATGAAAAGCATCAAAAGCTTGCTAATCTTAATTCTCATATGAATTATTAGTGGTTATTTCACTGTGCTATAAAACTTCAAACTCCTAGCTGTATTATGAACATATGTGTTTTTTTGGACAGAATAGTGAGGCTATGGTTTCAATTGATATGCCTGCTGGACCATCAGAAGTTCTTGTTATAGCTGACGAGAATGCTAGTCCTGTTCATATTGCAGCAGATTTACTCTCTCAGGTGAATACTGCTGGCTCAACTCTGTTTTTCAGTTTAATATTAACTTCCGACTTAATGTTGAATTCTGGGGATTTATTTGAACTTTTACAGGCCGAACATGGTCCAGATAGCCAGGTAGTTCTTGTCATTGTTGGGGACAATGTAAATCTAGCTGCTATACAAGATGAACTCAACCGGCAGTGTCAAAGTCTTCCCAGGGGTGAATTTGCATCAAAAGCTCTTGATCATAGTTTTACTGTGATTGCACATGATATGATTGAGGTACATTGTATACCCACTGCCTGATTGCCTTAAGTAATTGCTGATGTGCCTTACAGTTTGTTGATACCTTTATTCTACAATGACTTGAGTATGTGTGCCATATCATCGCTTGTGTTGCTTACTTAAATACTGTCTTGAAACAGGCAATTTCTTTTTCAAACATGTATGCACCTGAGCATCTGATTGTAAATGTAAAAGATGCTGAGAAGTGGGAGAATTACATTGAGAATGCAGGTATATATTCTATATTTGGTTTTCCGGACCTTCTTTATTCCCTTGGTCTCACAATTAACTTTACATTTTCTTTTCCTGTTCTTCCCAAAACAAATTTACACTTCACCATTTTTGTTTTTAGAAAAGAAATAGAAGAAATTACTCCAAATAGGAGTAAACATAGCATTTATCCTCAAAATAGGAGTTTTATGCTTTTTTCTCCAAAATAAGAGTTTGCACTGTTACATTATGACACTGTAGATTGGCATCCCTCTGAATATTTTGGTACTAAATATTGCCATTGTACTCCTATTTTGGGGATAAAAAACATGGAGCTCCTATTTTAGTACTTTCTCCATGTTTTACTCCTAGTTTAGTCCTTTTTCCAAGAAATATATGGCTCACAACATTTCTCCCTTCCTAACAAATTTTAATCATACACTTGACTTTTCAACTCCTTTCTTAAACTCCATGAAGTCAAACCGTGGATTTAATTGATAATTTTTATGTTAGTGCTTCAAATTTTGAACTGCATCTGTATACAATGTATAATTACTCCACAACATACAATGATTGCATACAGGCATACAACATCATTGTTTGCTGGTTTTTACTTGAAGTTCTGCAAAAATACAAAAAAATATAATTGATGAAATTAAGGCTCATTTGTTGTAGGTTAGAACTAAATTGCCAATACTCCCGACATTTTACTAGAAGTTCCACATTAAAAAAAGTACTCCGCTTTCTGGTCATAATATTTACTGTGCCATATATATATTATGCTCTTTGAATTTTACTGAAACGTTAGTAGTATCTCTTTCCCAAAAAAAAAAAAGATTCGTGCTTTTGAAGGTATGATTTTGTAATTGTGGAAAGCAAGAATAGTTTCACTTAAAGACTCATAGAACCTACATTTATTCTAAACTACCTTTTGCGGGATTTTATTCGGTTGGTTGTTGTTGTTGTTGTTGTTGTATATTTGTTGGTTTAATAGAATTTATCATATTTAACCTGGTTGTAACTCTTTTTATTGGCAAATTACACAAAACATTAGCATTGTTTGATCAAAATGACTCTTTGTCTTGGACAAACTTTTGAAACATATCTACATGACAATTCTTTTGAGACACGACTAGTTTCCATTGCTTTTATACAAATTGTGAAATTCATTTTTCACAACTTGAAATAATTAAAAGAGTAAATACACCATCAGTTCTTGAATACTTTGCATGGCTCTTCGCGATGCTTTTTCAGAATAAGGTAATGCATTTTCGCAATGACAGTGAAGTTTGACTTATTTACAATTATGCCACTGTGTTTTTCAAAATTTTCCCTCCATTTTTCACTTATTAACAACCCTTAGATTTGAAATCCAATGGACTATTTGCATTCTTATTTCCTTCATGGAGCATCATTCTCATTTGGTACTTCATGGAGCATTATTCTCAGTCTGACCCACAACCATTTGGTAGTTCTTTAGGAACCTGTTCAGATTAGGGATGTACCTGCAGTGCCCAGAGGAAAGATGATGATATCATCAGCATAGTAGAGATGAGTAATGGAAATACTCTTTGTTCCACAGTTGAACCTGTCAATTTTGCCCTCGAGAAACAGTTTATAAAGGTTCCTGGAGAAGCCCTCATTAGCAATTATAAAAAGAAGTGGAGAGAGTGGATCTCCCTGCTTGATACCTCTGGATTGGCCAAATTATCCACATGGTTTGCCATTAAGGACAGAGTATTTGGAAGAGCTCAGCAGATTGTCGTTAACAGGTTGGTTTTTAACCCTAGAAGCAGGCCACTTGGTTTTTAACCCTAGAAGCAGGCCACTTGGAAGAGCTCAGCAGATTGTCGTTAATATGTTTGTCGTTAACAGGTTGCTTCCTGACTGTCTCTGGCTTAACCTCCGGCATAGTCACCAGCTTGCATGATTGAAGATCATGACCCAGTTTGCGATAAGAGGAGCAAAAACATTGAGGATCCTCATCGATGACCTGGAAGAAAAGGTCCTCCTCAACATGTTTGACGTGAATCTTCTGATGAAGAGGTTTAGACACATTAACCTCTAAACACACCCTTGCAGCCATGGGTCTGGAGATGGTGAGTGTTGCACTGTCGACCTTCAGGGGGTTCCCAAGCGTAGAGGTGATGTTAAAAAGAGCTGTCTGGTCATGGAGATGGATGGGAAGATGAGGTGTGGATATCCAGACGGGAACAATGGGGGAGTCCTCTTCTGGTCGTAGGTTAGGAGGCCACTTGGTTACAAACCAAACATCCTTACCAAGTGTCCAGGATTTCCTGAAGAAGAAGCGTTGGTAGTCCTCGTCTTGCTCGAAGTTGATGAGGACACTGTTAGAGTTGAGCTCTCCCACCGACAAGCCACTCACAAAGCCGAGTTGAGTAAAAAATTCTTCACAACCGAGACTGGATGTCTCCGCGAGAATCTGCCGATGAGCGCAAACCTGAACCTGCGAGTGTCTCCAAGTATGCCTTAGAGAAGGAGACTGAAGGACAACCTTTGAACATGGGTTTCTCTGGTGCAGGGTTGCATCCCTCTTGAAAAGCTCTGAGAAGAGCTTGAATCTCGCCGGAACCCTGCCGGTTTCCACTGCCGGAATTTTTTCTCCAGAGTTAGAGAGAGAGCATTTTTACACACACACATATGTGTATATATATACACACACACATATATTGATATATAACCAGAAAGTGAGGATATCCTCTGGCTGTGTGGATATCTGAAGGAAAGTGAGAGACTGAACCAGAGCTGGAAGTTGTGACCATAATATGTGATGTAGTATAAAAGGGCAAACTCTTGTGCTTGAGGGGAAAGCGCTGTGTTGTACTGGCTTTCCAATGGTAAAGCAGGCTGCTGCTGAGGTTCATCAAGTGGCAAAATCTCCTTTGCTGCTGAGATCTCTTTTTTTTACTGCCAAAAGGTCATAACTTTGTTAAAATAAACAAAATTAATCCAAAAAGTTGAGAAAAAAAAATAAAAAGACCTGAGCAAAGAAAAACAACATTGAAGAGCAAAAAAACATATTAGATTTTGATCAGAAAATGAACTTGCGAAGGCTGAAGAAGAAAACAAAAAAAAGCATTTAGCAAAAAAAATTGCAAAGAAAAAAAGGAGGTACAACGGTGCGAGACCTGCCTGGCAAAGACAACACAGAGACACAGATAGTCGCAGATCACTCTTCATCTTTGTCTTCCAAATGAGAGGCGCTATGTGATTTGTTTGTCCCTGTGGCTGAATATGGAAGGATTAAGGCGAGAAAGGTCGCCTTGGGGATGTCGCCTCGCCTCTCCCTTGAGGCGCTGACTGCTCGCCTTAGGCGAGATAGGCGGACGCCTTTCAAAACTATGATTAATGGGAAAGTACAAGAAAGTTTGATATAAATACTGATTTGAAAACTCTGAATTTCCCAAGAAGAGAACAAATGCGCATAGTAATTTGGAATGTCCCAAAAAAGAAAGGGTGCAAAGTAATTTAGAATGTCCCGAAAAAGAATGTGTTCAAAGTAATGAGGAACAAAGGGAGTATGTTTGCGCATTTGAATTTTCTAATGTTTTTGTTTTCAGGTCTCTTCATTTTAATATTTTCAAGCTGCCTCTATTGATGTTTTGCATTTGGTTTTATTTACTTCTACATTATGCTGGCCTTCAGTAAAAGTTGTCTGTTAGAGACTTAGCCCTATCTTCTTTTGGTGGAAATGGGGAAGCCAAGCTAAATGTTATCTGAAACCGTCTCAAACAATGACACATTGAATTTAGGAAATGGGATGGATTTGGGAAGAACACCAGTAGATGGGATTATTTCGATGAATTATTCGTATTACACAAATTGTTTATTTGACTTAAGGAACAACACCAAGTCGCACACAATTGAACCAATTCCTAGCACGATGTAGTCTTTCTTCTATGATCATCATCTTGAATACTTACTTCCATGCAGGGTCTGTATTTTTGGGGCCATGGACACCAGAAAGCATTGGAGATTATGCGAGTGGTACAAATCATGTCCTTCCGACTTATGGGTATGCACGGATGTACAGTGGGGTGTCTTTAGACTCATTCTTAAAGTACATCACAGTACAGTCTCTGACTGAGGAGGGGCTGAAAAACATAGGTCCTTGTGTTGCTACCATGGCTGATGTTGAAGGTTTGGAAGCCCACAAGAGAGCAGTCACCCTCAGATTGAAGGACATTCAAGCAAAAGAATTGCTTACTGCTTAGAGGATTCCCAGTCTTTTTAATCAAAAGGTATGAAATCTGAGAGGATATGCAATAGAAGGGAGATAAAAATGTCATTCCCCATAAAGGGAAATGACATTCTACTGCGGTTCGCCGAATTATATTATTTTGATGTTTTTTTTATTTTATTTTTGCTCAACAGACATTTACCTTTATTGGATTTGATTGTTCATGTTCCCCTTTCGAGATGAAAACAGGTTTCATTGAAACCCTTTTTATAAGAAGACCTAATGGCAAAAATTTGTAGTAAAAGAATTGTGCATTTGTGATATCTAATTTCCATCGTAGTTCCCAAAGAAAAATCTGGGCTGGATTAAGTATTCACTCAACTACCTTGGCCGTTATTCTTCAAAATTGATCTCTGCTGCAATAGTTCAACATTTTTTTAAAATATAGATTCTCTCTATTTCTTTCTTCCTGGGCATTTACTTTCTTTCTTTGTTGGAACTTTTCTTCTTTCCAATCTAATTGCTATTTTTCACTATTTATTTTCCACTCTAATTCTCTTTTTGGTAATTTTTTTCATCTAAGATTTTCATAGATTTGACGAAGGTCTTTATATCGTTTGGTAGTTTTTTCGTAGATTTGACCGAGGCCCTTTGACTTATTGTCTTATAGGTAGGCCTGGACACGGTACCGGTTCGGTACCGTTACCGGCGCCGGTACCGCCGGTACCCACCACCGTCCCCGTCTTCCGATTCGTCACCCGGTACCAGGAACCGGTACTGGAACCGCCCCGTTCGGTACCGGTTCCGGTGCCAATATTCCCGTCACGGAACCGGCGGTACCGGTACCGGTTCCGGTACCGTACCGTTAATTTTTTTTTTTCCGGTTTCCTGCTGCTCTGCCTGCTCAGCTGCTGTCCTGCAAAAAAAAAGTAATTGGAGCGTGAGGGGGTCCCCTCA